CCTACCCATTCTCTACCTAAGGACTTTAATGTCTAAATCATGATCCTTCTTTCTGTTACTCATATTAATGTTTATGAATAGAGTGAGTTATTTGGTGCCAAAAATTATTGTGATAATAATCTGCTCTAAATTTCTTTCTACTCCATACAAATCTCTCTTTTGGCTTCACAAGGAACTTGGCAGCTTGGGTTTTTAGCACAACTCATATTTGGCTAGTATTACTCAAAAATGGCATACGGCATTTTATCTGTTTACCTAGATGTTTTAAAATGCTTGTCAGAATTGTGCTCCAGAATTTAGTGAAAGATAACAAATAACCCTTCCCCCTATAAGCTCTACTTTATTTCAATCTGTTGAAGTTGTTGGGAAAGGTCAACCATGGATTTATAGGTCATCTATAATGCAAATCTTGCATCAGAATCTATTTGACAAAATATTGTATTTAGAATTGGAGATAAAGAACTACACAAGAGCGAGAGTTGTCCCATCTCTCCTATTGCTATCTCCTCCCTATCTCCCCTACCCCAAACTTATTTGACACTGTGAGATTCATAGGGTCCTGTTTAACTCCTACCAATATTCTATTGCCTCTCTTCCTTGAGTTTCCCCCTTCCTCTGGGATCAGAAAATTATCTGCACATGTCTTTCTCATAGAATTACATAATATGGAAATTCGAAGGGATATTAGCATCCATAATGGCCACCTTGTGCCTGATGAACAAGAGTCTGTATTCCTGATAAATAATCATTCAGCCTCTTCTTGAAGACCTAAGGAAGGACCTGTCACATCTAGGGGCAATCCATTCAACTTTTGAAAAAAAATCAACATTATTTTTTTTCTTTACATCCAGATTAAATTCACTTTCTTATAATTTGAAATCTGGTTCTTCCCTTTGTCTCCAAGTAGACTAAATCCATTTCCTCTTTCACATGACAACCTTTCTAAAATTTGACAACTGTTATCACTCTTCCCACCAACCCAAAAAAGTCTTCTCTTCTGTAGCCTATATTTTTATATGGCATGATCTCAAGGCCCTTCATCATCAAAGCCCTGGTCACTGTATTCTCTGTATGCTCTCCAGCTTGGCAATATACTTTGTAGAATGTGACATCCAGAACTTAACACATTATTTCAAATGCACACTACTTCATTTCTTCTGGTTTGGTGACCTTGTATTATAAAATTATTCTTTCCAAATTAGAAATGAGGAAAAAAAAGATGGGAGTGTAGAAAAGTTGCTCTCCAAACATTCTTAATCCTTCAGAGAGCTCAAAGCCACCTATAGAATAGGAAGAGCAGTTCATCACCTTGCTTTGTCCTACATAAAGCCTTAATTGTATCAAGTATGAAACAGATATAATAATGGTAGGACTATACAGAAATGTTTTTTATCTTTTGGCATCTTCCTCCAATATTTATAAACCTAAATATAGTTTATGGAACCAGACAGATTTTGATCATCAATGTGGACATCATGAAAGAAAATTCCTTTTCGAGGATATATTATAATATATAGGTTGTAACTTAAAAGAAGATTTTTTTATTTACACATTAATTTTCATTGCTAGGCATTATGGGAGAAAGATTTGTTACTGGCTTAAGAAAAGTTAGTTGTTATGAGTTGGACCTTCCCATGATTTTTTTTACTGATTAATCCTGAAATGCTATACTGCAGAGCAGTACATTGTTAACATGAAGGAAAGAAGGTAGGCAGCAAAGAAAGGAAGGAAAGAAGGCAGGCAGAAAAGGGAAGGAAGTAAGGAAGAAAAAAAGGCTTTTTAAGCACCTTCTATTCACAAGGCACTGTGCTAAGTGTTTATACAACAACCCTGGAAGATAGATGCTATTGTTACCCCCATTTTACAGTTGAGGAAACTGAGGCAGAGAGTAGTTCGAGTGACTTGTCCAGAGTCACACAGGTTGTACATATCCGAGACTGGATATGAACTCAAATCTTCCTGACTCCAGGCTCAGGGCTGTATCTACAGAGACATCTAGTTATCTTATCACACTGAATGAGAGTTACCATAACAAAGTTTTCATTATGAATCCAGAATTTGCAAAGAAATGTCCTATAAAGAGAAATATCATTTTGGGCTTAAACAAATGATTGCCCTGCCCAGTTGTGCATTTTCGTATTCCATACTTTTGTGTTAAAGTTTGCTAAATTGAAATGTGTTATAATTACAACTTAATTTCCTTTTACAACCATTCTTATGTAGGTAGATTACAAAATATGAGTATATTCTTGCTTATTTTACATTCTATATGTATTGACATTGCATAAAACATTCAGATATTTGAATGTAAAAAGCAAAATTCAGAGTATTTTTTAAAAATGTTTAAATTTTTTCTTAGTTTTAAACAGGTGATAATTTGTAAATAATCATCTTGATCATTATATTTGTTATAATTAAACAATGAAGCTTATCGGTAATGTTGTAATCATGGGATAATCACACCCCTGGTATAATTAGCAGGCATAGGACACAGTCAAGTATTTCTAATACCTCTGAGTGTGGTTATTTGTGATAACAATGCCCTGTAGGTTGCCTAATTTCCATTATTAAAAGGTTTTGGGGGGCTGTTTTTTTTAAATAAGCAAGTAGAAAATGTATCCCTTGTTCACAGAATATATGCATTAAATAGTTTGGAATACTGAGCTATGGTTTTAGTTAGTCCCATGTTATTTTCTTGTGTTCCTGAAAATGCCATAATCATAATTCATTTATATGGTGTTTTGAGGTATACAGTGTAAGACTCATTACTCCTATTTTATAGATGAAGAGACTGAGGCTCAGAGAGTTTAGATAATATAATTGTTCTCAGACAGCTAGAAAAGAGCCTAAAATGGCCTCTTTAACCCAAGTCACCTGACATCCAATATTATTTTCACCATATTACACAGACTACTGACTACATCATGTCTACACAATGACTTAGCAAAGAAATGTAGAACATTTAATTATCAGAAATTTTAGCTCACCAGTAAGAAATATTCAGATATTTGGAAAATATTTAGTTACAGATAGCTTGAATTTTGTTACCATCTTGTTAAACTAAATAAACATATATGTGTGCCTTTACAAAATGGTACATAACAGAAAGTTCACCATTTCTTATACAATCCTCTTACCTTTTCTTCTTTGAATATTAAAATGTTTGTTTGTTGATGGTTAAGTTTACAATAGGTAAGAACTCTTAAAATGTTTAGTATTGCCTAAAAATTGAAATGAAGCTTTCAGATTTTTACTAAATGCTTTTCACCTCAAGCTTGGAAAGATATATAACATACACATGCACACACACACACACACTATCCTATACTATCCTCTAAGGAATCAGGTAGACATTGTAGCATATAAAAAAGTAATTATAAGATTAGAACTAAAAGAGACTTTAGAGATCATCTAACAGGAGTCTTAACCTGGGATCTAGGAACTTCTAAAAAAATTGAAAATAGTATTTCAATATAATCATCTTCCTGTGTAATTCTTCTATTAAAAGCACCATTCTGAAAAGTCTTTCACTCCATAGACCTCATCAGACATTAAAGTGATGACAAAAATTTTAAGAACTTCTGATATAGTCTAACTCTTTCATTTTATGGTTGAGCAAATTGAGGTACAGAGAATTGAAATGACCTGCCTAGGGACATATATTTATAATAATTAAAAATAATAAGTACTTAATTGCTATTCCCATAATGGTTTCATGTTTGCAAAGCACTTATTCAATTTTGCCATCATGACAATACTGTGAGAAGAGTATTATAAGAAATTATTATTTTAATTTTAGAAAAGGAGAAACTGACACTCAGGTTTAGTGATTTGCTCGTGGTTGCACAGCTCATAAATATCAGAGGCTGGATTTGAACTCATGTCTTCATAATTCCCAAGTGTAGCTCTATCCATTGTAAAAGATATGAAGTTGTAAAGCTGGAATACAAACAGTTCTTCTGATAGCAAATCTAGTTCTCTTATTACCACACAAATTTTTGTTTCCTTTTCTTGTATCCCTAGTGCTTAGCACAGTACCCAGTACATAGAAAGTACTTAATAAATTCTTGCTGATGACTAGAAAATGAATCCAATATCTTCTCATCTATGTCTACTTCAAGTTCCCTGCTCATTCACCTTGCCTGAATTGACTGGTCAATTTAAATGAACTATTTTCCCCAGTGAATTAAGTTTAACTGAATCAACCGTTATCACTAAATAGTTCTGGTTTGATGATAAAATAATCATGTAGTCATGGCATTTTATTTCCCAGTGATGATCTCCATATCCAACTCATCTCCAGTTGTTGAAATTCCACCTATCTTTTAAAATCCAGCTGAAATGTGAACCATTCTAAGAAATCTTAAATAATGAAATATCATGTTTACAATGAATAAGGCCAGCATTGGACTTGGAGTCATGAAGATATGGGTTCTAATTCTGCTTCAGATGATCACTAGCTATGTGACTCTGAGCAAATTGCATCACCTATGTGTTCCTCATTTATCTGAAATGTAAAATGAGATAGCTGGTCATTAAAATCTCTCCCAGTTTTAAATCTGTAATCCTATGATCCCTTTTTGAGAACTGATCTCTTCCTCATCCATATTTTCATAAAATTGTGTTTGTAACTCTCTAATACCACTTGTTTTTTAATATATGATAGTTATTTGTCTATATGTCATACCCCCCTGCTATATTCTGAGCTTTTTTGAGGACAGGACACCAAGTTCTATTTTTTTTTCTTTAGATCTCTCTCATCACCCAATAATACATAGTACCTGAAGTTGCTTAATAAATAATTGTTGGAACAATGAATGTTCTTTAAGTAACTGACAATTATGCTTCTTAAAATGCTAAATAATTTGATATCAATAAGATCACCCCAAAGTACAAATGACTTGAAAAAGGTGGAGGATGTCTTTATTTTTAACTGTTTGGATGAAATTGTGTTCATCTTAGTACTCACTGCTTTCTAACACTTTTCTAATACTCTTCAGTGTAACAGTGACTATGTACCCGTGTGTGGTTCCAATGGGGATACCTATCAGAACGAGTGCTACTTGAGACAGGCGGCTTGCAAACAACAGAGTGAAATACTTGTGGTGTCAGAAGGGTCCTGTGCCACAGGTATGTATAACCAGAAATCGACCTAAAACTGCATATCATAGGGATACTTTTTGGTTTTTCAGTTATGTTAACTCCACACGTCTTTAATTCATGTGTGTGTGGGTATGGGTGAGTGCGTGTGTGGGTGTGTGTGTGTGGGTGTGGGTGTGAGTGTGAAAAATTTGGCAGAAGCAAGAAATTTGTCATAAAGTTGTTGTACGTTTAATACATATGTTATACAGCTTTTTATGCTCTTCAGACAGATGAGTAGAAATTATTCATAATTGGAAACCTGGATGGACTGGCCAGGTGCCAAATGTACAGAAAGGGAATGCTACAGATTTTTCTGTTTAGAACAATAGCATTGTGTCAACTGGAGGAAATGGAATGCAAGAATTTGCATATCCTAGTAGCATCTTAGGTATGGGCTCTGAATTGAAGGTGTGGCTTGCTTTGTCAAGCTGGCACGATATAATTCTCACTTTTTGGCAAAATCTGTTGAAGGATATGGTGATGGATGTTATTTCTGAAGTCATCTGTCTTTTTTGGCATAGTTAACCTTAGAGGCAAAGAACCATTTTTCTCATACTGTCCTGGGTTTACAGAAAAGAAAATGAGTAGGGAAACTGACTTAATATGTGCCAAAGCTCCTCCTGTTGTCCTTTCGTGTGTTGTTACTTTATTAGTACAGTCCAATAGCACAGGTGAAAATGTTAACTTAAAAGAAGAGAAAGAGAAAGAGAAAGCCTTTGTTGTTGAAGGAAATCTTTAAACTGATGTAGATTTTTTTTTGTTAAGATGAAGGAGTAAAGAAAACTTGATATGCCACAGTGCCCTGTGATAGTTGCAGCTAACAGGAAATAAATATCTTTCAGGAGAGCTGTGCTACTCTCTGAGAGATTGAATGATCTGAGCATTTTCAAAAGAAAATAACAATGCTATGAAAACAGACTTTGTCTAAGAATCAGTGTTAACAAAAGTACTGTCAGGAAAAGTCTTTTGCTATAGAAAACTCATATAAAATAACAAGTACTTCTGCAATGAGGAATAGGTTTATTTGTTCAAGATGGAAGGTGGTCATAGTGGCAAAGAAGGGAGGGAAGGTAGAAAATCCCTCTTGCTTTATTATGCTATTTCTTAAGCTGCTTCATTATTTGTACCTATCTTTGATCCTATGATACTGTGGAGTAGCAGAAAAGAATAATAACATTTATCAAGGTGAGACAGGTATGGATAAATATGATTGGCCCCATCTCACAGATAATTTACCTCTGAAGATTAAAAAAAAAGAGAAAAAGAGAGAAAAGAAAGAAAGTGGATTCCACAAACCTAATCCAATGCTCTTAGCTTCCATTTTTGGCAAGTTTTTGCAGCATTTTATTATAAGGATGACTAGTGATTGTCCAGAAAAGGAAGAACAAAAAGGCAAGAGGGCTTCATCAAGAAATGATCATAACAGACAACTTCACTTCCTTTCTTGAAAAAGAATTTCAGGTGAATGCAGTAGCTATACATTCCCTAGATTCTTTGCAAAGGATTTGACTAAGTCTTTAATCCTTGTAGACAAGATTAAGAAATGTAGGCTAGACATTAGTTCAGTTAGGTAGATTCAGAACTGTGTGAATGAATGAAACCAAAGCATAGTGATCAGAGAGACATCGAAAACCTCTATGAAATGGTGCACAGTGAAGAAAGCCAAAAGAATAATATATACAATGACAAGAAAAATGTAAACAGAGTCAAGATGGAAAGTCAATGAATTCTGGTCACATATCAAGGACATTATTAGCACCATATTTTCAGAATTTAATAATATGCCCCTCCTTTATCTAAACCACTAATAATTTATTTTTTGTACCTTAGAAGATTTATTTGGATGTTCTTTGGGAATGTTTTATTTTGAAAAGCAAAATGCATTAATGTGTTTGTTAAAATCCCAACTATATTTATTAATGGCTAAATATCAACCGGAAGGGAGATTTCCAGTGGAGAGATTCCTATATGGGTCTTTTGTAATTTAAATTTTTATTGATGAAATGGGGAAATCTGGTTATCAAATTAGCAGGGGAAACAGAGGGAGAGATCCAATACAATGGATAAAAGTTATGATTTGAAAAGATGTTGATAGGCCCTTTAATAGGGATAAATGCCAATTCTTACATTTGGGTCCAAAGGAGAAGTCACTTGACAAAAAACACGTTGGAAATGTCATGACTAGATACCAGTTTGCCTTTAAAAAATGATCTGGTGTTTTGGTTATATTAAAAATTCAACATGAGTCAACAGCATTGCAATCAATTCAATTTAGCAAGCATTTAGTAAACACCTTCTTATGTTCTGGGCCCTGTGCCAAGCACTAAGGATACAAATACAAAAATGAAATAGCCCTTGCCCCATAAAGATAAATAGAGTATTGGCTTAATGCTTAATATGTGCCAAGCATGGTTCTAAGTGCTAGAAACATAAATACAGTAAAGAAGTTTACATTCTATGGAAGTAAACAGCATAAACACAGAGAAGTAAATATTTAATATATACAGGATAAATATAAAATAATTTCTGGGATAGGACGAACAACTGAGGAAACCAGGAAAGTTTTTAGTAGGAAGAATCTCTTGAGTTGCATCTTAAAAGGAGTGAGTGGTTCCAAGAGATGGAAATAAAGAGGGAGAGCATTCTAGACATTGAGTACAGCTTCGGAAAAAAACAGAGACATAAAATGGAATGTCATGTACAGGAATCAGCAAATAGGGCATTTGCCCAGATTATAGAATATGTGAAGTGGAACAAAAGGTAACCAATCTGGAAAGATGATTCAGATTGTTAAATGTCAAGTAGAGGCATTAAGGATATAAAATATATTTTATCCTAAAGGCACTAGGGAGCCACCAAAGCTTCTTAAACAGGGGAATGACATAATGAGACCTGTGTTTTAGCAGCAGAGTGAAAAAAAAGAACTTGAGGAAGTGAGAGGGTGGATGCAAGGAAATCATATTGGAGGCTATTTCAATAATCTAAGAGAGAGTGGTGGGGACCTGCATTAGCATGGTAGTAGTGTGAGTTGGGGAAATGGAATCAATGCAAGAGATATTGCAAAGACAGAATCAAGACTTGGCCTGTGATTTACTATTGGCAAGGGGTGAAAGTCGAGAGTGATGGATAACTTCTGGGTTGCAAATCTGGGTTACTGGAAGATTGCTAGTGTCTTTAACAGAGATAAGAAAGTAATGGTGATTAGGTGAAAAAGATGATCAGTTCTCTTTTCTTTTTTTAAGTAATTTTTAAATTTTTTTTATTTTTATTTATTTTTAATTTTTTATTAATTTATTTTGATTTATCAGCAATCATTTCCATATGCTTTTGAGTTTAAAATTTTTCTCCCCCTTCCTCCCCACCACCCTCCCCAAGACAGCACACAATATGATATAGGCTATACATTTACATTCCTATTAAACATATTTTCACATTAGTGATGTTGTAAGTAAAAATTAAAACCAATAGGAGGAACCATTAGAAAGAGGAAACAAAACACAACAGAAGAGAAAAAAATAGCAATTCAACTTCCATAGTTCTTTCTTTGCATATGGATAGCATTTTCCATCACGAGGCCTCTGGAGATGTCTTAGATTCTTGTAAGTTTATCACTATTAGTCATAGAACAACGTGGCTGTTATTGTGCACAATGTTCTCTTGGTTCTGCTCACTTCACTCAGCATCAGACCATACAAGTCTTTCTGGGTTTTTGTGAGGTCAGCTTGTTCATCGTTTCTCATAGCACAATAGTATTCCATTACATTCATATACCATGACTTGCTCAGCCATTCCCCAATTGATGGGCATCCTCTCAATTTCCAATTCTTTGCCACCACAAAAAGAGTTGCTATGATTATTTTTGTTCAGTTCTCTTTTCAATATGCCAGGTGTTAAATGCCTTTGGGAATCCAAGTGAAGATGTTTAGCAGACAATTAGAAATATAGCACTAGAGCTCACAAAAGAAATGATGGTAAGAAATGTATATTTGAGGGTCATCTTTATAGAAATGAGAGAAAAACTCATGCAAAACAGTAGAGAAGAGGGCCCAGGAGAGAACCCTGGGGCATGCTTACAAATTCTGGCTCTTAGTAAAGAATAATAATTAGAATTATCCAAAAGTGGAATGGGTGAGATGATGAGTTGTTGTTGTTCAGTCATGTCTGACTCATCATGACCCCATTTGTGGTTTTCTTGTCAAAGATACTGGAACAGTTTGTCATTTCCTTCTCCAGGCTGTTTTACAGATGAGGAAACTGAGGCAATCTGGATTAAATTATTTGCCCAAGGTCACACAACCAGTAAATGTGAAAGGCAGGATTTGAACTCACATCTTCCTAATTCTAGACCTGGTGCTCTATCCACTATACCACCTAGCTGTCTTTTGATGAGTGCCCCATGAGTAGAAACTTTTAAGCAATGACTGGATGACCATTTGTCCAATATGTTACAAAATGGATATTAGTCTAGTCACCAAGTAGACTAGATGGCTTCTGAAGACCTTCCAGTTCTGAGGTTCTATAAACGTGTTGGTAGTGAGGTTTGTAGTGAAACAAGCTGACTCCTCTAGGTTTTCATTTGATGAAGTTAGTTTTTTTTTGTAAGCCATCGATGTTGCTTATTCCTGTAGAGTGAATGTAATAAAAACAATTTAGAAGTGAAGTGTGAGCACCATTGGGTGGCCTTCCTCAATTAGAAAAATTCAAATTGACCAGAATGTTCCTGTAACCAAAAGGTTGGGCAGTTGAGAACTATCATACTAGAAAGGTTAGAAAATTTTATTGGACATGATGGGGAAAAATGGCAAGAAATCAAGTAACCTAAGAAGAAAATAACTGGGTAATGATTCATTAGGATTAGAAAAAGAGGGAGGGGATAGTGAACCTCTGATGCCAGCTTCCAGGCAAAAATACCAAAGCAATAGAAATTGAGAAGGACATTTCAAATGGGAACACAGCAGGTAAACAAGTCCTGGGATTTTTATATTTGGCTAGTGATGCTTGCTAGCCTAGTGTCACTTCCCAGTTTGCTAAATTTCAAGCTGTCATCAGCATATACATTTTCATTCCCATACTTTCTTCAAGTCTTAATACCCTGCTCCCTGATGTATTGATAATACTATGAAAATAAACACTTAGTCAAGTAGAAAATTTAATCACAATTGAGCAATCCATCCTTGGCTCATCCACACATCTAGACTTCTACAAGATTTAATTAGTAAATCAGTCTTGCAGAATGCATCTTCCATTGACTTGTAAATCTGAAGGGTTTTTGATTTGAATAATGATGGAGGTACAAAAGTGATTTAGATTAACCAGGTCTGACTGTAAATAAATTGAGGTTCTGACTTTTGATATCCAAATGGAATCCCAATCTTCGTTCCATAAACTTATCATTTATTTTCTAATTCTCTGTGACACTGGATAGAGGCTGCAAGTTGTGATCTTAAGAAAAATACAGCACTGGAAGATGGAGCTATTCATTTTATAACATTGAATTTACACAGAAATCTGACTTTGGATTGGGAGAAATCTTCTTATTAGTGAGGCCTGCTCAACATCTCACATTATTACTCTAATATAATGGCAGCATATAGGAGTAACAGTTGTATCTGGTTATTTACATGTTGCCATCCTCCACTGGAATGTGATCTTCCTGAAGAGACTGTTTTTCCCTTTCTTTGCATCCTTAGCGCTTACAACAGGACCTGACACTTAGTAAACATTTCATAACTGTATATTGATTGAATATGAATATGGCTAGATAACATTTTAGGTGGAAAAATATCTTAAAGTCTCAGTGGACTGCCAGGTCAATGAAAGGCAGCAGAGAGACATGGTAGGCTAAAAGGAGAGGCAATGCAACTTCAAACTTCAGAGTGTCAAAAACTAGGCAGGTAAGAGTCCCACCATTCTTTTCTCTTACTAGACCATATGTGGAGTATTATGAGCAATTGAGTGGGTAAGTTTAGGAAGACCATCAACAAGCTATGGCATGTCCAGAATAAAATAAGTAACTAGGATGATGGAGGGACTTGAAATTCTTTTATATGAGGACTGATTGAAGAAACTATAAATAATTAGCATGAAAAAGAGAAGTCTCATGTAAAACATGGTTGTTGTTTTCAAGCAATTGAGAATTGTCATGGTTGAGTAAGATTAGCCATCTAAAACTATCTAATGAGATAGATAATGAGCTTCAGTGGTCATTTTCTCCAATGCATTCATTCACTCCTTCTTTCATGTGTTTGTTATTTGGGTCAAGTTGAACTTAGAGGAGTCATTGAAGTCTTTTATTCCTAGAAAAATACATTACTTATGAAAAGAGCATTGTATGGGAAGAACATTAGCTACTCGGGTCAGAGGACCTGGTTTTGAAAACCAACTAATTGACACCTGTATGACCTTGGAAAAGTCATTTGTTCCCTTTGAGTCTTAGTTTCCTTTCCTATGAATGGGAATACTTGGTTAGTATTCCACTATCCACTGATCTTTCAGCTTTAAATATTATGAAATTTTGATGTGCTTTTCATTCTTCTTTCTCTTTAAACATAAATGCTCGTTAGAAATTCGCTTGATATATTAAGCTACTATTTCAATATACTGATAGTTTTTTCTTAAATATGGTAATAGAAATATTCTTATTTATTTTGAGGCAAATATAATAAAATAACATTCTAATAGTAACTCACGAAACTATTATAATATGGTCTAATTATTATTACAGAACTTGAAAATATACTGTAGGCCATTCATTCCTCCTAGGACAAGTCATGTTCTCAGACAGAGCCTAAAGTGAATATAACAAAGTCAACCTTAGGAGGTAGATACTGTTCCCTAGTGCCAACTTTATAAGCGGAACAACTGAACAAGTGGGTTTTTTACATCAAAATAGTTGCCTTAATCTGTAACTAGCAAAATGGAAGGATCACCAAAGGACATTTTTGTAATGAAAAGGGAGGTACAAAAAGGGCTAAGAGGCAGAAAGGGAGGGTATGTCTCATTTCTTACCACATAAGAACAGACAGACACTTTGCAGGGACAATTTTGTAGCCTCAGGCATATCTAGCTCAAATAGGATATCAGAAGTAGAACACAAACTACAGTGAAAGGCTCCATTTCTCTCCAGAACCCAAATCTTCTGCACAGGGACTTGGAGGACTAAAGGGGCAGAGAGTAGGGTTCAGTTGTCTGGTGAATGCAGCTGAAAACATAGCTCCTCGGAATAAACAGCTCTGTTCAGGTATAATATGTGAGAAAAGAGGAATAGAGAGACACTGCTTCTCCCTGACAAACCAGGAAAACACGATTCTTAGTACAAAGGGGAGAACTGAGCTTAGCATTATGCTGACTTCATAAAGGAAAAAAGTGATTTCAGTTCCTTCAGTAGATATCATCTATAATTACTTATATATTTGTGAAAATATTAGTAATTTAACAGGAAGATATTCATTTTTTAAAATGTTCCTCTCTTCGTATGCATCCAATTTGCAAGGGTAGAAATAACAATTAAGTGTTTATGCTGCTGTATTCCTTGGAGTGTTGCATCTGTGAAACTCACTGATTGTTACAAGCATCTCTTTTCACTGTAATTTTTATTTTCTGTTTAATGCTGAATTTGGCTTGATTAAAAATATATACAGAGGATTTTGCCCATGAACTACAAGTTAAATCTGAAATTTGGAAACACTTTTACTTCTGAGATATTAAGTTCTATAAGAGCAAAAAAGAAAATATTAGTTTTTCCTAAGATAATTAAAATGAAAAGTCAAGTTCATCCTCATAAAAAAAAAGAATCAAGTGGTCATATTAGACATCTGTAATTTACTCAAGTGACATAACATCCTTACCTATTAGAATAGACATAAAATAAGTAAAAAGTGTCATTTTACATATTTACTCATTATTTCCTTATTTTTTTCAGATGCAGGATCAGGATCTGGAGATGGAGGTAGGAACTGTTTTATAATAAGTCTGAAAAATTATGCATACATGTTTGTTAAATGGGTATGTTATACTTTTCTTATTTATAATTTCTGAAAATATAATCTGAATTTTTGACAAGAATGAATATTATATGTCATTAGTTAAGTAAATTTATATATAATATAAATACTTTTGTATTATTTACAGGCTGTATCAAGAACTCTATCTCCATTTACTGTTCCTAGTTCATTCATATGTTTTAGAGTCTATATATACTTTCCATTTGGAGACCCCTGGACAGATTTTCAGTATTGAAAAGCTTTCTGATATAAATTTCCAAAAAGTGATTGGCAATACCTAAGATAATTCTAGAGGAAGTTTTTGAAACATCATATTTTTTAAAAATGCACTCTATTTTTGATGGATATCAATCAAGTAAAAATATCTGAGTTTAAAATAAGTTTCACTAAAAAAATTTGACCTATAATGTGAAACTAAAGGATATTTTGTACATGAGAAAAATGACATGAAAAATAAAAATCTTTCTTGTCCAGAATTTAAAAAAATTAAAAGGAAGATCATATCTTTATTTTTTTAAATTTAACTAAGCATTGGCCAAAATTATCAAAATATTACTTATTTTCAAACTTTATTTTGTGTTTAAGAAACATTAAGGATAAAATCAAGTTAGGCTCAGACTTAAAAGTCAATTTTATATACTAATCGTTCAGTATAGATTTTATTTATTGAGCCTCTTTTAAGGTACCTTTGCAGATGACAAACAACTAGGACTGAGCTTATATAAATAGAGCAAGAAAAGTGGATAATATTTTGTCTGATTTAAACAAAAATATGGTGGCTATGAGCATGGCCATTTTTCCAAGATAATGAATTTCTGCCTCATGTTGCATAGCAAGAGAAAGAATGATTTCCAAATAATTTCAAGTCAAAAGCAGAATTCGAGTTTAACAAAAGACAGGTAGAAGAGGACCATGGGAAGACTAGACAGTCACTTAGAAAGTGAATCTGTGAAGTAGATAAGATCTAGTTGGCACATTGTATTTGAAAGATCTACAGAACTGCCTTAAATAACATAAGACTTAATTGGCAACCTAGCAGTAGCCTAAGTAGAGAAGTAGAGCACCTCATCGTGTGAAATCAAAGTCAGTGCACAGTTTTTCCATAAAAGCTATAATACAGTACTCTAGTCAAGAGTGAGTGTCACTAGAGCATGAAATGTAGTTTCAACATCAAATGATATGCTATAGGCCACAATCTTTCAATAGCTCTAAGAAGATAAAGATTTTTGCTCCCTGATTAATATACCACTCCTAAGAAAGTTTCCCTTGAGGTTTGGAAACAGGAGCTGGAAAAGCAAATGGAGTCATAAAAAAACATTCCTCTCATAGGTGTTTCACCATTAAAATGTTAAGAAATTGATCAATTTAGAAAATGTTCCCTATGGAAGTTGTTTATATGCAAAATTCTGTATGTTTTCCAGCTGTTTGATTCTTGTGTAGACAACTCAATTTAAAGTACATTGTCTCGGCCGTGTCCTATCATTTCTGCCACAAAACCTGATTATTTTCTAGGATCCTTGAAACAAGAAACTTGTGAATCAAACATTTTACTAGTACTACTGATGTACTCAGAATTTTCTTATTATTTTGAATAGGAACTTGACTCATCATTTGTCCATTTCTATATCTCTTAATTTGTTCATATCTCATGTCATGTTTTTTCTTTCTTTTTTCCTTTCATCTCTTTTCTCATCAGAAGCAGGTGGCTTATGGTTTTCATTCAGTCTTATATTATTTCATATAATGTGAATTCAGTGTGTTTCTTGTTTGCTTTAACTTAGCTCATTGGTTTAAGAATTTTGTGCTTCTGTCTGAACAAAGTTTGATTTTTTTCATGAATAATTTTTATTCTAACTTCAAAAGTTTGAAGTTTATAAATAAATCTCACAAAATTTCAATGATCAATCACATTCTTCTCTTCTTTTTCTTAGTTTCTTTTTTTCCTTCTCCCATTCCTTCATTTTAATTTTTAATTTGGAGAATAAATGAACTAAAATAATATTTTAAAATGCATGCTCCAGAATAAATACAGAGAATATAAACAGTGTCAGAGTCATATTTTTAAAGTAGCTATTATTTTATTGCAAGGTATGGTGAAGAGTATATATCCATATATGCGTATAATGTGTATGAATTTGTATACATGTCTGTGTGAATTCTAGCCTGTGCTATTTTACTATGAAAACTTGATGTGTTTTTAAATCTACTTTGTTACATGTTAATGACAAACCAGCTATCCAGAATATTACAACCTAGGTTAGAATGAACTCAAAAAAAATCTAATCCCATGTACTTTGAAATCCCCCTTACTGAATAATTGGGGTTGCCATATCCACTGCTACAATGGTGGATTTTTATCAACCCTTAAATTGGGCCCATATTTCTAGGGCATTGAAGCAGTTGGGTGTTATTGTGTTCCTTTCAGTTAATTGAGCATAATGAAATTAGTTGAGGTTGTTGGGTTATTACAGTTACCCCATAAATTAGATACTCTGAGCCAAAAGAAGCCCCTCCCTCCAGGGCTTTGGCAAAGTTAGGGATATCTGTGCACTTACAAATGCAGCTGACTAATGCTGTTTTAAGCCCTTTGTTAGTTTTAATACAGGTTAAATAGCTCCAGCTAGGTGTGCATTTGTCTAAATGGTAAAGTTAATAAATACTCTTGTAAAACATATATATATACACACACAGAGAGGGTCAGCATGTGGTAAATATTGTAATTTAAACACACAATTCTGAGTTCCAACAGTTCAATTTCAACTTTTTTTCCTAATTTTTATAGATTTTTTTAAGGGAGGGCATAGTTCCTAACATTTAAAATTGGGCTAGATGATTTCCTTAATTGTTAAAACCACTCCTGGTAAGAACATAATATTTGTAGTTGTCTGCAACTGAGGAAAAATTTTTATTGTCATATAAAAAGAAAGTAAAACCTTTATAAAATGCATATTAACCAATCTGTGCACATTCTATGGGGAATTTAAAAATATGTAATTATTGATCTCTGTGGATAGGGGAATCTATTAAAGTTGTGATCAGTGTTTGTATAAAATTGTTTTTATATAGGCCATTACCTGAACATGTGAAGAAATGCATAGAATTTCCATGTCTATGCTGTAGATGTTTCATGTAAATCTCATGTATTGATACTTCCCAATGTGGTAGCTCATTCCTTCTTATTAAAATGGAATTTCATTAGCACAGATGACACATATTGTCCATTTAGAAAATAATAAACTGCACTGTTTGTATCATTTCATTTTAAAAAGGAAATGTTTGGTTCAAAACATTTTGTATCAAGTAATCTCATGTGCTGACTGAAACATTTAGAATGAACTACAATTAATTGTCAATTATGAATATTTTTTTACATAAAATGTGGCAGAGCAGGGTAGCAAATTCCAAAAAATTTGGAAGATGCCTCAGAATAGGAGTTATATTTCAAGTACGTGTATGTTTGGATATTTGATGCTGTAAATAAGAAAGTGTGTGTGTGTGTGTGTGTGTGTAGGAAGAATAATAACATCTTATCCACCCACAGGCTTTCTTAGGCAGCAGATACTGCAGTAAAAATTAGTATTAAAGTAGTATTACTCTTGAAAACCAGGGTTATGTGGGTGGCTGAAGGATAACCCCACCCCTTTTCTCTCCCCACCTCTCAAAATGGTACTAAAAAGAACAAAGCTTTGAATATCTTCCACTATGTCACATACTTTAAAGCTTCTGGATTCACTGAGGTTTTATTGGATGCCCCAATAACTAAATAAGTCAAATTAAAGGAAATCAGTATTTAACCTTTTAATAATCATCACCACGAAATAACTCTTTATTACGTGTTATATGCATTGAATGGTGGTAGTTGCAATTAAAGTTATTCACAATTAAAATATTTGGTATAACATTCTGTTAGTAGCTTTAGCACAGTTTACATAAAAAGAAAAGAATAGGGACTGAGGATTTTTCTAATAGATACGGCAGAGTTAAAATGTGAATACTTTGGATGTACTTACATAGTACGAAGTAAAAGGAAGTAAATTTATTTAAATAATGAAGAACAGTATTTGGGGTAGGGAGGGCTAAATTATGCATGCAATTGAAATTATAAAGATCTGACATAGAAAACTAGTTGCCATAGAGTGTTTTAAAATGTACAGCTACATTATGTGATATGTCCTTTGTTTAACTTGATGACCTCTGAAATGCTGTAATTTTAAAGTTTTACTCCATCTCTGTTAATACCATAATAAGAAGGAATACTTTAACTTGTAAAAGAAGCTAGATATTATGCATGACACATTGATTAATAAACATTTGGGAAGTTTTAAAATTTACAATTTAATAAAAAACAAAAAAGCATCTCTCCATAGTGGTCCTAATGATATCTGGTCTTAAGACATTGAAACTGACAAGATCCTTCAAGTTGTCCACCACATGATGAAAATTATTAAAAATCTAATCACTCATACCTAAAAAAGCAAAAAAAAAAGAAAACTTGAGACCTTAACTACTTTGTAAACAACAAAAAAATCAATATTCATTCTACAAATGTGCTAAGATAAAGCAAAACAATTCATTTTCAATTTCTTTTTTTATTTTTGCCATAGTTTCTATTTTTATTCACTCTCCTGAGACAAATTAGTACCCTGCTATCCTAGTGTTAGAGTAAAGTTCTGGCAACCTTAGACAAAATGAAGATGCTCTCAAGCAGAAAGAAAAAAATATGTGCCTAACCATGTTTTACTCTATTGGGTCAGCAGTGCTTCTCAGGAGGCCTGCAATTGACAAGTAGCTCATCAATTGCAGGTAGATTCAGCTGTAATGCTGGTCCAATAAGGAAATCCTACAAAGCATGCAGGATTTGAGATTCTCCAAGGAAGAATGCAAAGAAAAGCAGAAACTATTGCTTTTTTCTTCTGTACTCCCATTGCTGAGATTTGCTACTTTG